TATATATATATATGTAATATATCACATATATGAATATATCACAATTGTATTGGCACACATCTATAACACCAGCACTCTGGAGGCTGAAGAAAGAAGAAGGGAGATCATAAGTTTGAGGCTGAAAATGCCTCACCCCCCTCCACCAAAAAAGAAAAGAAAGACAAAAACACTAACTGCGTATGGCAGAATTTCTATCCCTATCAAAATGACAATACCTTACAGGGACAACAAAATACAATTTATAGTAAGTACTGTAACATAACTAAACCCAGTATATATCATTATATGTGACTTTGACACACTATATATTAATTTAGAAACATTCTATTATACATACATCTCATTTTGCTTAGAGTTGAACTCTGAACCTTTCCTTCCTTTTCCTGATGGGAGTGATTATGAGAATTATCATGGAGTAGTTTTATCTCATGAATAATGTGAAATGTGGTTAACTCTCAGAAATAACCCACAGTAGACTACACATTCATTTTTGGCCTGCTGTGTTATAAGCATATTAAACTATGGTTTTTAATGAAATGAAACAACATACTATGGTTATAGAACTTAATGCATAATAATTCCTATAATAATGTGAAAATTTATTTTGCAGGTGGTGCTTAGAACAGCTTTAATGATTTGACTGTGGATTGTTTCCAAAGGTCTAAATGCATTATCGCCATAGTTAATAGAACTTTAAAAAGTTTCATTCATTCCAAATATCACAGTATGGGCATAACAAAAGCTTATTAAAACTTTTTTAATATAGATGAGAGAATCAATAAAAATAAACATTTAATACAATAAAGCATTATCGGTTATTCTAAATTGAAGCTTTATATCATACCACTACTACGAATAGGAACTGGAGGCTCCTGGTCCATCAAAGTAAAACTTCAAAATTGTGAATAGACACTTTTGCCTTGTTTTACCTGCTGTAAATGTGTCTGAAGAATAAGATGATCTGTGAAATACTGGTGTATAATTAACAGCCTGGAGAGAAATTGGACATTTAAATTTGAAAAACTGATGGCCATGACAAGTGGAATGTAGCAAACTGCAAATGAGCAGCGAAGATAGTATGTTTTATTAGGATTAAGAAGAAGGAGCAATTATATTAGCAATGATCCAGGACTCTCTTTTGATTCTGTGATGAAAAACAAATTGCCTACCCCCGGATAGCTCATAAACTAGGCATCTCCTCTTCAGACAATACATATACTTTCTGTAATATTCACCAAACTAATGGAATAAAAGCTGCCAAGCCACTGCTACAAAAATTATGTCTTTTTTGGTCATAAGAAATTAAAATAAAAATATGGTATCTCTTTTACATATTATTACTTTCACTAACTAATGAGATATGAGAATCACTGTTCCCCATGTAGAAGTTTTAATCTCAAATTAAATACTCCTCAGGTCATATGTCTTAAAATTATTCTTAATTAGACCAAAAAAATTATGTGCTCAGTAGAATCAGTGATGTCTGAACATGACACCCTTTTCAAATGGGATTGAAAAATGACTCAGTGAAGCACTGGTTTTCATTTTTCTTCCTCGTAGAATAGAAACTATTATTCCAAGATTACCACGACGAAAATGAAGGCTGCTTCAATTTGGTATAAGAAAAACACAACCTGCTTTACTTTAAAAATCCATTTTTCTGATGACCACTTCATATTATTAATTTTTGGGGGGGAGAGTCAAAAACATTTTTGTTTTCATCGGTTATGTTAATGTCTACAATATGAAAATTAAAATTGATCTCTCTGGCTATGGAAGATTACCACCTATACTACAGTGAGGCTTTTGATTATGTGGCTATTTTAGGTGTCACCCATGGTCCTGGAACATCCTTTAATTTTTATAAGGTAGGTCCAATGATAATAAATGTATTCTCTCTCTCTCTCTCTCTCTCTCTCTCTCTCTCTCTCTCATTTCTCCTGTACCCCTGAAGGATAATTTTTGCTCAACACACTCTACTGTGTAAATTTTTTCTTCAAAATGTAGTATCAAAAGGAGACCTTCTGTGCTTTCAGTACAGAGACACAGGTTCGGTGGAACAGGGACACAGTGTGAGTGGGTTCATGGTCTGAGAGGTAAGTAGTGCTGCTAAAGCATACCAGTGCCTCCAAATGGGGCTGTGCAGTGCCAAATGGTTATTGGAGTGTCAGAAACAGTCTCAGATGAGAAAAGCTACACGGAGTCACTTCAAAAAGACCCTTGGGGAGGTAATGCCATGGCCACTGTGACCTTATGTGAACTGTACCCCCCCCACAGGAAGCTCAGAGTAAATGACACAAGACTACATGCTGAACTTGGTGGAATTCTCCTAGACAGTGTTTGAGTCAGAAATCAGCAAGGCAGAAACTAAATTGGATTTGCCACTTTTGCTGGTGAGGGGTATGGGTCCTAAGCCACTCACCAAATAACAGAAGCAACCTCCCCCCCCCGAGATATGAGTCCAACATTAGTAACCTGATACCTGAGAACTGCTCAGAAATATTACCAGCATCTGAGACTCCAACCACGAAGCCCTCCCCACTGTCCAGAATAACCTAATCTCCAGGAAGAAAGCATAGAAGCAATAACAAGATGGCTAGTGTAAGTCAGAATTCTGGGAGCCAAGCAACAAAACTCTCTACTCCGTATTTATCCTCATTCACATTCTCTCTCCCACTCTCCTTCCCTACTCTTTCTTTTTAGGATTCCCTTTCCCAAAGAATATAGGCTGGCAATGTTTGCATATGTCTCCTTTCTCAATTAACCTTTAGTAAGACTGTTTCATATTTCCCTCCCCATTTGCCTACTTCTTGTTCCTTTTGCATATATACTTCTCTCCTCACTTTTTCTTAAACAAATATCAAACACTACTACTCTTAACCTGAGTTCTTTCTGTTGCTGTTACTGTTGCTACTTGCTTATTTTTTCTTTCCACTCATATCAAAAGCAACCAATATGTTAGTACACATACTAATATCTGTGTCCCCTTAGTTCCTAAAACAATCATTGTGCAGGAAAAAATAACTTTTTATTTGGCTAATACTGGACTGCTATTGAAAGCCTATCCTTTGTTAGTTTTTTTTTTTTCACAATATTGGAACTCTGGGGAATACTAAAGATCAAATCTGGTGTCCTCATTAACAGTCTTGCAGATAAAAATAATACCTCAACCTTATAACTACATAGCTCCACCTGTAAAGACTAAAAATTGCCCCTGAAATAATAAGGATGATTTAAAATTAATTAATCATAATGAAATTTAAAAATAAATAAACTCAGCCAACAGCTTAACTCCAGATATACAAAACCCAATGGAAAGCCATAATTTGAAAAACCAAAGCAACATTAGTCCTTCCAAAATTACTAATCCCATAAAATCTCTAGTAAGAATTGGTACCGGGCGTTGGTGGTGCACGCCTTTAATCCCAGCACTCGGGATAGTCATTAGTAAAAATTGGTACCGGGCGTTGGTGGTGCACGCCTTTAATCCCAGCACTCGGGAGGCAGAGGCAGGCGAATCTCTGTGAGTTCGAGGCCAGCCTGGTCTCTAGAGCGAGTGCCAGGATAGGCTTCAAAGCTACACAGAGAAACCCTGTCTCGAAAAAAAAAAGAATTAGTTACATGAAATTTCAGTTAGGTGACTCAAAAATATGATTATAATACGTTCAAAGAAATTAAGGAAGACAAACTGAAGGAATTCTAATAACAGGACTCAAATAGTTCAAGGAAATGATAAAGTAAATATAAGTTACGAAAAAGAATCCAAATATTGCAACATTGAAGAAAAACCAAACTGAAATATTAGAAAAGAAAGAATACAAATGAAATGAAAATCTCTGTAGAATGACAAGAGCAGAATGTTTCAAGGACAAGATACAGTACTTGTGATTGAAGTTAAGGAATCAGAATATTCCAAAGAGGTCCCAGATGAATTAACCCAAAAGTATGGCTGATACATTCTGGATATACATCATCCAAGATAACATCAAATCTAAGAATTGTTGGTATAGTGAGTGGGGGTGGGTTGGGGGGACGTTGGGGAGCTTGGGAGGATGGGAGGGTGAGGGAATGGATATGTAAATAAGAGTGCTTCTAAAATAAAAATTAAAAAAAATGTTATAAAAGAGGAAGAAATTTTGATTTTGAAGGTATAGTAAATGTTTTCAGCAAAATCATTGCAGAAAATTTCCCAGTGTTTTGAAAAGAGATGACAATCTAGATATAAGAAGCATTTAAGACACAAACAAAAAATGGTCATGAAAGAACTATCCTTCAACTAAATCACTAACTACAGACACCAAAAAAGTATGTTGAAAGAAGCACAAGAGACTTCACCTACAGAAGCAGGCTTGTGAGAGTAACAGTAACAATGGGGAAAATCTAAAAACCAGGAGATGATATAGTTCAAGTTCTGAAAGACAACTACCATCCCAAAATATTATATGGAGTAAAACTATATGTAAGAATTTAAAGGAAAAGAAAACCTTTTCATGATAAAAACAGGCTAAAGGCATTCATGACTACTAAGCCAGCTCTATGGAAGATACTTCAAAGAGTCCTTTGGAACAAAACTGAAGACATTCATAGGGCCACAGGAAAAATAAATGACACTTCTATAATAGCTAGAGGAATAAGAAAAGCCCCAAACCACAAAACAATAAAATATCAGGAATTAACACACATCTTTCAACAATAACTCTTGATTATGAAGGGTATTAACTCCCTAGGCAAAAGACAAAGACTAAAAGATTAGGTTAAAAACAAGATTTATTGATTTCTTGCTTCCAAACAAATGACAATTCTTAAGGTGAAAAGATGGAATTGTTTTTTTTCCTAAGCAAATGGAACAGAAAAAACCTTTACCACTGGTTTTATGTATAGTAATTAAAACTGAAAATATACAGAACAAAAAGCCATAGAAAACAGCAAGAGAAAAGCTACGCATCACATAGAAAGAAAAATACATCAGAATAACAGTTGATCTCTCAAAGGAAACTTTGAAAGCCAGAAAAGGTTGAAATAATGTAATCCAAGTTCTAAAGAAAACAAATACCAACCTATACTAGGGTATCCAGGAAAGCTATCTGTCATAGTTGACAGAGAAAGAAAAACAAGTACACCATATAAAAAACCTAAGAGAATTCATTTTTATTAAGCCAGCCGTACAGAGTATATTAGAATATTGGAAACAGTACTTTAATCTGAAGAGAGGATTAAGCATAGCTGAAACACCATAGAAAGAAAGTATTTGATGATATAATTACTGAAACAGTACAATTAAGAGCACACACAAACAAAAAGAATGCAATCAACATGCATCTTCCAATAATATTTAAATATAGATGGCCTCAACTCTACAATCAAAAGGCATGGGATCACTGAATGGATCAAGTAACAAAATTTGTATTTCTGTTCTCTCAAGAAACTCATTTTGATTTTAAAATGGGAACCACCTTAAAGTGAGGGGATGGTTAAAAAAAAAAGTGCTGAAAACAAACGGGGCCAGGAAGCAAGCAGGTGTTGCTATCTTAGTGTCTGATAAAGTAGACATTAAAGTAAAATTGATTAGAAGAGATAAATGACACATCATTCAAATCAAGGGAACAATTAATCAAAAGGGCATACAATTCCAAACATATGTGCACCAAATTCTGGTACAACAATTTCATAAAATGTGTATGATTGAGATCAGTGACAGATTAATAACAACCACAATTGTATAGATGATTCCAATACTTCTCTTTTTTTGAATAGACAGGTAACCTGGCTAAAAATCACAATAATCAGAAATATATGACATCATACATCAAATGGACTCAACAGACACCTACAGAATATTCCATCCGACACAAAAGAATACACATGATACTCAGTAGCACATAGAAGCTTTTCTAAAATTGAACGCACTGTGGGACACAAAATAAATCTTTGAAATTTCCAAAAGATAGAAATAACTCCTTGTATCCTACTGAGCAGGAAAGCAAGAAAACTTAAAGTTGATGAAAAAAATCTCTTGTAAATACACAAACTCCTGGAGATCTGGAGATTAAACAACACATTCCTGAATGATGACTGGATCAAGGAAGAAATCAAGACAGAAATAAAAAACATTTATGGAATTAAATGAAAATGAAAACACAGTACAACAAAACATTCAGTACACATTAGAAAAAAGTCTCATGAGGGAAATTTATACCTCCAAGTGACTACAGTAAAAATCAGAAAAAGCACAAATAATTGACTTAATGATGCAACTCAAAAATGTGGACAAGCAAGGACAAACCATATCCAAATGCAGTCAATGGCAAGAAATAATAAAAATCAGAGGAGAGTAATCAAATAGAAACAAAGAAAATAATACAAAGAACCAATAAATCTAAGAGCTGACTCTTTGAGAAGATAAACCAGATTGACAGACCCCTGGTGTGACTAACCAAATGACAGAAAGACAAGAACCTATCTCAAAGCCATGGCCTCTGTGTGAAAGCTACATTTCCTGTGTAAGTAACTTCTCTTTCTTTACTTCCCCTAACCATATGCCATCTGCAAACTAATGAGCCTATTTCTAGACCTGTGGCCATGAACTCTTCATTCATGAGGTCCCCTTGCCTGACCTAACTCAGATGCACAATATTTTCTGGCACCATAAAGCTACATGGAAAAGAAGGAGGCTTTTGAATGAGTGACAACCAACAGCTGTCTAATTGGACTTAAGGTTGTTCAACAGGAGAAAAATCATGCCTGGTACTAAAAACCTAGCCAACGTCCTGGGCTAGTGAGTTCATGGGATTTAGAATATTATTTACTATTTGCACTTTGCAAGACCAGTATAATTCCTTACTATATTTTAAATCTTATTCTTATACCCGCAGCTATCACCCCTCATCAAGAATGTTTTATTTAACCAAAAATAGAAAGCATAACAGAAAATTGGAACAATGCAGAGATCAATGGATTGTGAGAAATGCAGCTCCAAAGTAGACATTACATCACAGACCCTGCATCTATAGTTCAGGGAACATCACAGAAGAGGTTGCAGAAAAAAAATTTAAAGCCAGATTATCAGAAAGTCTGCTTTGAAATAGTGTCTCCAACAAACAACAAAAACCCCAAACAAAACCAAAAACAGCTCCATAAATAAGACCAGAATAATAGCAATATGGATAGACATGCCAAAGTCAAAGAAAGAACTTTCACAGGACCCGATCCCTAGCAAAGAACTATAGGCACCTAGTGACTACTGAGATAGACAATTACCCTCTTCCAGCAATGAGCCACCTAATTAAAGTCAATATACTACAGAGACATCTGTGAATGAATGTCATTTTCAGTCTTATTCATAATAGTTACATTATGGAAGCAAAGTAGGTGTGCAGGAACAGAATGTGGGTAAAGAAGCAGTTGTACATGTACATGATGGATGTTCTTTTCAATGGTAAAGAACAATGAAGTTTTGTTGTCTGTAGAAAAATGGATGTAACTAAATACAATCATATTTAAAAGACAGAATTAAGCTGGATGTGGTGGCACACACCTTTATTCCCAGCAATTGGGAGAAAGAGGCAGGTGGATCACTGTGAGTTTGAGGCAGATAGAGCCTGTAGTTATTTTCTTTAGTATTCATCATTCAAGTTCCTATTTCATAATCTATCCTAGCCCCATCTGCTTATTTCCTAAACATGTTGTATCAATATCTACATAGTAAAAAAAGTCACAGAAAAATAAAATAGAGCACAAAAAATTTTGGTGTAAACTAATACCTACGCAATATGTTTACAGGAACCCAAAAAAGTAGTTAGCCACCAGTTCCCAATTCCAGCAGCTTCATGGTAAGAGAAATCATGAAATGTTTAGGGTAAGTAAGGACTGAATGCTACCCTAAATCCTAGGGAAAAGTAAGACAGAAGTTCCCTTCCTACCTTTCGCTTAATGTTTTCAAGAAGACATGCTCCTCCTTTTTTGAAGAGGGGATGCTGAAATTCCATAGGTATTTTCTTCTCATCGCTGGTATTTTCACTCTGCAGTGACATCGTCTTTCGGAAACCATCTAATAAAAAGAACAAATCAAAATTAAGCAATAATCATAAATGCCATACAGTCGATTCTAATAAGAAATTTGGAAGTATTGGAACAAGTAAGTAATATTCAAAATGTTTGATAGCCATAAAAAGTAAATTGGTAGCTTAAAATCAAGCTTGGGTACTACTGACTCTTACTGTTCTTTGTGTCCGTGGTGTGTGTGTGTGTGTGTGTGTGTGTGTGTGTGTGTGTGTGTGTGTACACTGGTAGTTGTGTTTTCAGGCCAGATAATGACATCTGGTGTAGTGTGTGTGTGTGTGTAATTGTGCGTGTGTACAAGCATCTGAGCTGGTTTGGTTTTCTCTGTGGAAGCATGTAGAGACCCCTTTCCACCTTTTGTTTTATTTAGGCAACATCTCTCATTGAACTTGAAATTTGCTGTTATGTCTAAACTGGCTGGCCAAGTGAGTTCCTTGAATCTACCTATCTCTGCCCTCTGCCCCTCAGTGCTGGGATTTAAGATGGATAACATCCACCTGACTTTTATGTTGTTCAACGGAGTCTGAATCTATTTCCTCATATTTGCACAAGGACTTCATCAACTGAGCTGTCTCCCCAGTTCCAGAATTTGAGATCTAAATTGCTTAATTTAAATTGATTATACACAACTTGGCAGTGATTCTAGAATCCAAACAAATAAGGATGGGTTACTATATATTTGCATGTATATTTATATATAACATTCAAGCCTCATTTAAACCAACAGATTCCAATTTTTCCAACCCCTGACTAAATGCCAAGATACACAATATCTCACATATTTCCAAGTGTGGGTAATACGACTTGATCTGGGTTTTAGCTTCTTTTGGTGCCGTGATAACTATTTGGAAAATACTGAGAAAGAAGACAGTATGAAAAACATACGGAATCAAACAAAAAAATTCCTAAACCTCAAAACCAAACAAAACAAGACAGGATTACTAAAAACACTCTTTACTAATAAAAGAACTGCTGGAGGTATAACCATACCAGATTTCAAGTTGTACTACAGAGCTGTAATAATAAAAACAGCATGGTGCTACACAAAAACAGACATGTTGATCAATGGAATTGAATCAAAGACCTAGACATAAACCCACACACCTATGGACACGTGCTTTTTTGACAATGAAGCCATAAATAGACACTGGAATAAAACACAACATCTTCAACAAATGCTGCTGGGAAAAGTGGATGTCTTTATGTAGAACAAAGCAGAAAGATTTATAACTATCACCCTGTACAAAACTCAAATCCAAATGGATCAAACACCTCAACATAAAACCAGATCTTACTACAAGGACACTTATTCAACCATGTCCATTGCTGCTCTATTCATGACAGTCAGAAACTGGAAATAACCTAGATGTTCCTCAACTAAAGAATGGATAAAGAAAATTGCTACATTTACACAATAGAGTATTTTCAGCTGTTAAAAAAATGATGTCATAAAATTTGCAGACAAATGGATGGAACTAGAAAAAATAATCCAAGTAGAGGGAGGGAAAACTATAATCAAGATGCATTGCATAAGAAAAGAATATATTTTTAATTAAGAGGGAGAAACTAAAAAATATTAGTAAATAAATTATTGAAAAAGAAAAAAAGAAGGAAAAAAAGGATCTGGAGATATGAAAAACTAGATCATATACTCTTCAAGCAAGAACAACAGCAATAAACACCCTAAACAAATTTAAAAATTAGTGTATATATATATATATATATATATATATATATATATATATATTGAATATCTGAATAAAGATTTATATAAAGAACAGTGTGTGTGTGTGTGTGTGTGTGTGTGTTTGTGTGTGTGTGTGTTTTTGTGAATACCCCCCCTGCCAAGACAAAGAAATCTTGAGAAAAAAAGGATAATGATGGAATGACTATCATATCTCTTCTTGGGTAATATTGTAGAGAAAGAGTAGTTAAACAGCAAAACATTGGCAGAAAATTGGGCCATTGGCATAGCACTGAAGATCCAGATCCAGATCCATACAATTATTACTACCTAGATTTCTACAAAAATACTTCTCTGGAGGAAAGACAGATTCTTCCACAAATGGTCTAGGAAAACTCAATGTCCACACGTAGAATGGAATTAGATCCATTTCTAGCACCCTGAACAAAATGTCAACTAGAAGTAGATCAAAGACATTATTTTGAAACCTGAATCCTTAAAGTGCTAGAAAATTTAGGATGCACTCTAAATAGAACTCCATTCTTTCAACAACATTTTACAGGTTCAATAAAACTGCAAACAAAATCCCCATGAATTAATGTCAACAATAGACAAATGGAACATTGGGAAACTAAAAAGCTTGTTTATATGTTGATTTTGTATCCAGCAACTTTGTGGAAAGTGCAGGAATTTCTAGGAATTTTCTGGCAAGGTTCTTGGCATCTTTTAAAGTATCACATCATCTCCAAATAGTGATAATTTGACTGCTTCTTTTCATATTTGCATGATTTTGTTTCAATTATCTTGTTTTGTGCTCTGACTAGAACTTTGAGCACTATTTTAAATAAGAGTAAAGACAGTTAGCAGTCTTTTGTTCCTGATTTTAATAGGGTTGGTTCAAGTTTTTCTTCATTTAAAGGTGTGAATTTGTCATATATGGCCTGTAATATTTTGAGGAATGTTCCCTCCAGTTCTATTTTCTCTGGCACTTTAACCATGAAAAGGATGTTGGATTTTCGTCCAATGCCTTTCTGGCCTCTGTTGAGGTACGCATAAGAATTTTGAATTTAATACATTTATCAATTTGAATATTTTCTGTAGTGTTACGGAGCATCCTGTAGATATCTGTTATGCCCATTTGGTTTCTGATAATTTCCTGTTTGTTTCTTTCTTTTTTTCCTTTCTGGATGTCCTGTCCATTGGTGACAGTATGGTATCAAAGTCATCCCTTCTTACCATCCTGATGTCACTCTATAGCTCTATATCTACAGTGTTTCTCTTTGTTCTGAAGTATTCCTTCCAAAAATCTTTGTAAGGTTTATATGATGGTCATACATGATTTGAGTCTGTTTTTATCATAGAATATTTTCCATTCCTCCTCAGTTATGGTTAATAATTAAGTTGAGTAAAGTCACCTACTAGAAATGTGTCCGTTACAAGGACTTCTTGGGTAGTTACAGAGAGTTCTGGGGTGGGACAGTGATATGGGCAACTTAAGTGATTCCAAAAGCTCAGAGAAGGATATTTCTTTCTCAGATAGCCTAGAAAGTAGGAAGGAATGGGTCCTAACTTGAGGTGAGACAATGTGAGATCCCAAGGCACTTTCTCCACTCTCATTTATTGTTATATTGAAATTCTTACCTAAAGCAATAAAACAAAAGATGCAAATAAAAATTACATAAATATGAAAGGAAGAGGTAAACTTATCCGTATTTACAGATAATATAATTCTTTGCATAAGACAGAACAAATATTCCACCCAAAACTTGAACTGATAAATACTTTCTGCAAAATGGAAAGACACAAAACTAACCAAATGGAATAATTCATACATAAGACATGGTAAACATTCCACTCAAAACTGAACTGATAAACACTTTCATCAAAATTACAGGACACAAAACTAACCCCTACATGCCTATAGCGAATATGCTGAAGAAATTAGGGAAACAATCTTATTCACAATTGTTTCAAAGCCCTGCTCCAATCCTGAAATAGACCAAACCAGGGTAATCAAAGACTTGTATAGTGAAATATTGAAAATATTCAAGAGAAAATGAAGATTTCACTAAAATATGTAAATAACTCTCATACTCATAAACAACTATGAGATACTATCTTACTCTTGTCAGAATGGCTAAAATCAAGAATACCATTGACAGTTTATGCTGGAGTGGATGCGGAGAAAGAGGAACACTCCTCCACTGCTGGTGGGAGTGCCAACTTGTACAGCCACTTTGGAAATCTGTATGGCGACTCCTCAAGAAAATGGGAATCATTCTACCACAAGATCCAGAAATTCCACTCATAGGATATACCCAAAAGAAGCACATTCATATAACAAGGACATGTGTTCAGTCATGTTCATAGCAGTATTATGTAATAGCCAGAAACTGGAAGCAGCCTAGATGCCCCTCAACCAAAGAATGGATAGAGAAAATGTGGTACATTTATACAATGGAGTACTACTCAGCAGAAAAAACAATGAAACCTTGAAATTTGCAGGAAAATGGATGGAACTCGAAGAAACCATTCTGAGCGAGGTAACCCAATCACAAAAAGACAAATATGATATGTACTCACTCATATGTGGTCCTGCTTTATGATACATAGTGGTGACCATGCTTTATCAGAGCTGTTTTTAATGATGTTGCTCAGAATGGTTTCCTCCCAGATGATGACTGAGAAGCTAATTAAAAAAAATTGGTGCCAGGTACCATAAGAGTAACAGAACTATGCTGTTTCCTGGGATTTTGTTTTTTACTTTTTAAAAAAAAAAATGGAGTGTTCTAGATGTCTCTACAATTTTGTTCACATCACTGCAGAAACTGGAAAAGCTGTTGCTGCTATGGATGCATAATATATATATATATATAAATATAATAAATATTTTTTTTTTTAAAAAACTATATACGTGGGTTTGATTACAAAAACTAATAAAGTATTCTCTAAATAAAAAAAAGAAAAAAAGAAGAATTAATACTGTGAAAATGGCCATCATACCAAATGCAATTTACAGAATGTAATCCCTATCAAGATTCTAATATCATTCTTCATGGAAGTAGAAAAGGTTCTCAAAATTCATAAGACTTCAGACACACAAAACATCACTGAGTAACAGATGATGAAGGTACTGTTATACCTAAGTTTAAGTAATGTTACAGAGAAGCAGTAACAATACCAACACAGTACTGGGACAAAGACAAATCAATGGAAAATAATAGAAGAAGGTGAGGACGTTTAGAAAACTCTTGACCTGAGCCAAGACAAGTGACGACAAACAGACAGATGTTGCACCTATAATC